TAAAGGTTTGACCAAGATGGGAATTTGAGACGATCCTAACTGTTTAAAGGTTTGATCGTTCAATTTGTGGACCTCTCGTTCATGGAACGAATCGAGAGGGGATTTTGGCTTTGGTCCTAACTGTTTAAAGGTTTGACCAAGATGGGAATTTGAGACGATCCTAACTGTTTAAAGGTTTGATCGTTCAATTTGTGGACCTCTCGTTCATGGAACGAATCGAGAGGGGATTTTGGCTTTGGTCCTAACTGTTTAAAGGTTTGACCAAGATGGGAATTTGAGACGATCCTAACTGTTTAAAGGTTTGATCGTTCAATTTGTGGACCTCTCGTTCATGGAACGAATCGAGAGGGGATTTTGGCTTTGGTCCTAACTGTTTAAAGGTTTGACCAAGATGGGAATTTGAGACGATCCTAACTGTTTAAAGGTTTGATCGTTCAATTTGTGGACCTCTCGTTCATGGAACGAATCGAGAGGGGATTTTGGCTTTGGTCCTAACTGTTTAAAGGTTTGACCAAGATGGGAATTTGAGACGATCCTAACTGTTTAAAGGTTTGATCGTTCAATTTGTGGACCTCTCGTTCATGGAACGAATCGAGAGGGGATTTTGGCTTTGGTCCTAACTGTTTAAAGGTTTGACCAAAATGGGAATTTTGTGAGGGAAGATTGATCTAAAGAGGTGATCGAATCTCATCTCAGCAAAAGAGTATTCAGAAGTCATAGTAGGAGTTTAGTGGTTATCACTTTGTTCATAATGATCGGGGTTATCCCTAAGAATATTACATTTAACATTCTTCCGGGAACTTCCCGTTATATGATTTATCCACCCCCAGCTTCCTTTGCGAAACCGGGTTTAACATTGTACTCAGTTGGATAATCGAGAAGCAGTTTATACTCATATACTCTTTGGAGTGTGGGGAAACAGTTTATACTCGTGCACCCACTGGAGTTGTATGGTCGTCTTTACTCGACTTCTTTCGTCGTTATGACGCCGGAGTCAATTAGGGCTTGGATCTTGTTTTTGAGTCCAAAGCAAATCTCAGTGGGATGAAGAACCCTTCTGTGGTACGCACAGTAGTTTGGATCCGTAATCCTCTTAGCTCCATCCTGATCTTTAATAGGTGGTAGCTCGATTTTGTCATTAGCGAGGAGGTATTCCAAGATGGCTGGAGCTTCATCATCTTCGAAAGAATATTCCTTTTGAAACCTCGGATCGAGAGTCGCATTCTCAATGATTGCAGATGTCATTGGTTGGCCTCTCTCAGCTTTCTTTCTTTTAAGAAAGTGCTCAGCTTGTTCACCCCGAGATTTTAACTCCTTCCAAGTTGTGGATGGCACAACCCCCAGAGCTTCCAGGACATCTATGGAGAGGTTATTGTGGCATGTTTGCAGGATGAACTCCTCTGTAATAGGATCTCTGCAATTTATTGCTTTGCCACGGAAGCGTTTGACAAAATCGTCGACTGACTCTCCGTCTTTTTGCTTCTCATCCAAAAGAGTTCCGATTGACACTTCGGTGTCATCATCGAAGAAGTTGCTGAGGAACAAACTTTCCATGTCATCCCAGCAATTGATGCTCCCTGGCTTGAGCCGTCGGTACCAATCGAAGGCGGGCCCACGAAGGGTGCCAACGAATGACCGGATCATTAAGGCCTCGTTTCCAGAGATTATGCCCAAATGAGACTTGAAATAAATCAAGTGTTGAATCGGCGAACTCTTCCCTTCAAACGGTGTGAAGTTAATCAGATTGAATTTGGTCGGGTATGGTATTGAATCCCATTCCCTCGGATAAGGACATGGAATACCCGTCTTCTTAACTTCTTGAGCCGTCATCAAAGCATTGATTTTGTCTTCAAGTTTTTGCATTTTCCCGTCATCGTCTTCATTTCTTTCTGAATGATGTCGAGTAAAGATAATTGGACCACCCCCAGTGAGAGGTGCTATTGAACCACCCCCAATATCGTTATTGGGAGGATCCGTTAAACCACCCCCAGCGTTATTGTCATTGGGAGGTGTATCAGCCCTAATGACTTAATCCACCTCTGGATCACTGTCCTCTACAACATTCCGAGTGTGGTGGCTGGATTCAAATCGCTGATTGGACTCAGGAGGTTGAGGCTGTTGAGTTAACAGTTCTCTCATTTGTTGGATAGCCAACTTCATTTCTGTCTTCACTTCAGCTCTAATTTCTTCACGTTGTTTGGCTAGAGCTTCCTGAAGTATTTGAGTGAACTGATCAGCAGTGATTGTGAATACTTCTCTGATTTGTCCTGTGCTAGACATTGTATCATCAGAAGCGATTGCAGAATAAGTGTCCGAGAATTCATCCTCCGAGGACATTCCTTCTTGCATTCTCTTGTAGTCTTTGCGTCTGATAGCTCCTAATTGGAGTCGAGACATCCTTTGAGCAATTCTTAGATTGACTTTTCCTTTCGGGGAAAAGTCGGGATTTGAGTCACTTGAATGCTGTTTAGACTTTCTTCTATCAGCTACGTTGATGGTGACTTCAGGGAATTCATCATCTTGGGCAGCTGATTTTCTTTTGCGGAAATGTCTCAGCTTAGGCTTCGACGATACAGAGACTCTTCGTGGGATGGCTTCTCGTTTGAAACAATCACATCCTGATAATGCTGCTTTAACGAGTCGCGCACAGGAACAACGAGAGTTTATCTCTCGAATAACTCTCTTTCGAAAATTATTCACAACCCCAACTTGATAATACGATTCATCGGTATGATTGCCAAAAAATCGTATCTTCTGTTGGTATGATCTCCCAGGTATGACGATATCATTTGGTGAATGCGTCTTCTTCTGGGGGTATAAAACCTTATTGGCATTCTCAGGACAATTTATTTTTGTCTTTAAGCGATCCAAGGTTATGTCGGGAGTCGCACGTTTAGAACCACCCCCTTGTGGGTATGGAGTCTTAACGGGCTCCGAATGCTGATTTTGCATAAGTCCAGACTTTGGAATCCAAACTTGACGAAGTTTTGGTGATTCTTTGGTCACCATTTCCTTTTGGCGGAGTTTCGGTGATTCTTTGGTCACCGTTTCCTTCCTCCTTTCTCGTCTTTGTTGTAAGAGAGCACGGGCATGAACAACGTTTGCACGACGTTTTTGTATACGTTCTTTGAGGGTCGAACGAGCCCTTTTGACGAGTGTCCATTCCTCCGTTGTGAATTGTGCAGAAACGTGAGTAGTTCGTCGTTGCGTTGAACGAACCACTTGTTGTTTCCTCGACTCTAAATCCGCATAATAACGAACTCCGTCGGTTTGTTCAAATGCCTTAGCTATTTGACGAGCACGACGCTGACGCTGTCTCTGACGAGCTCTTTTCGTCAATGTCGTCGGGCTTTGATTCGATGACTCTTCAATTAGATAAGAGCCATTTTGAGCAGAGGTGTTGCGAGTGAAATTCTCAGCAACAATCAAGCGAGAGTCTTCATTTTGTGCCTTCTTTGGCATGCAACTCTTCCTCAATTGTGAGATCCTCTTGTACTTGCGAGATAATGAAGATCTTGAAGAGGATGATGAGAGATATTCCTCAAACTTGGTCTGGTCGAATTCGTATTCGACCATGGATTCAACTGGAATCTTGATCGGCTGCGACACGACGGTCTCGGCAGCGAGACCGTTGGCTCCCACTGTGGTCGCCAGCTTGTTTGGGTCAAAAGTTGGTTTTGTCATGGAATTCATTATATCTTCGGTCGATTACAATAAATTCAAAGAAAACAGCCTTTTTATAAGACTCTTTTACACAACAAAAAGAAATCTTGAAATCAAGTCAAAGCCTGGTTATCAAGGAGTGGCCGTAAGATCAGCACATCTGCTCTCTCTCTGCTCTGGATTGCTCTCAAGTGCTCAACTTTTGATCTCTGCTGGCCGCCCCTGTGAAAATGGCCTTCGGGGGGTATTTATAACCCTCTGGATGAACAGTGCTCGCGAGACAGCATTTGCTGTCTCGGCGGGCGAGACAGTGTTTGCTGTCTCGCTGGCCGAGACAGTGTTTGCTGTCTCGCCCAGCGAGACAGTAAATTTGCTGTCTCGCCCAGCGAGACAGTAAAATACTGTCTACATTTCTGGCAGTTTTCGATGTAACTGCTTTCCCACGTTTCAAACTCCGTTATTTTGGCAGTTATCCACGTGATTCTCGCCCACGACGTTTTCCACGTTCTTGAACAGTTAGTGGCCACGTGTAGGGCAGTTACAAAGGTAGTTTTGACCATCTGAAAGCTGTCTCACGTGCGAGACAGTAAATTCTATCTCGCACGGCGAGACAGCAAAGACTGTCTCGCTTGGGCGAGACAGTAAAGATCTGTCTCCGTGGCGAGACAGTAAAGACTGTCTCGCACGGCGAGACAGTAAAGACTGTCTCGCGCGGCGAGACAGTCAAGTCTGTCTCGCATGGCAAGACATTCAAGACTTGTGTTCTTCTGCCTTTTTGGATGATTTCCTCTTGAGCTGTATTTGGATATCTTTCAGCATTTTTTGACGCCTACAATATTTATTTTGTTATTTTTTTATATTTCTTTTTTTTACTTCTTTCCTATTATGGTTATCACCATCATTAGACCATCATCATAATAATAATTGTCAATATCTTATAGTCTAACCAAAAGTTATTTTATAGTAAAGAACATTATTGTAAGCAATTATCAATCAATAATAATAAGTTTAAAATACATAAATAGTATTTATATCTACAAAATGCATAAACATATACTTCATGATTATAAAAATTTATCTCACGTTATTTTATCAAAATATCTCTCTTTACAAAATTGTTCCTATTTATCCCACTACCGAAAAATTATTCCACTTTAACAATTATCTTATTTCATATAAAAATGTATCAATTGACTAACAAGCCCGATTTCAAATATCTGTATTTATTTCAAATAAATCCTAATCTTTTTGTAGTTTGAGATGGGCCCCTTTATGGAGTACAAACTACAAACCCCATTCATAACAGCCCAGTCTCATTCATGGTTATATAATCCATTTCTAGAATATCCGAGGGCCCAACTGGAAAATTCGCATCGTCTTCCTCCTCTATTCGTAAAAGAAAATTTACGCTCATCAGCGAGCTTTTCCGAGTTTTCTCCATCTCAAATGCAGCGAATTCAACGAACCAGAACCCTAACCCTAAAAAGCTCACTTCTTTTTCGCCCCAAATCCCAAGGCCCCTACGACCCCCCGTTCTCCCCGATCCCCAAACCCCCCAAAAACCCTAACCCTAAAAAAACCCCAGCTCCCTCTAAATCCAAGCCACCCCTGATCAAATCTGACCTCCCCTTCGATTTCCGATACTCCTACTCCGAATCCGACCCGAATGCGGAAGCAATTGGGTTCAGAGAACCGCCTCGGTTCTCTCCGTTTGGGCCCGGTCGACTGGACCGGAAATGGGACGGAGTTAAGGCGAGTTGCGATGAGGAGATTGAGAAAGATAGGGTTTTGAGAGAGAGGGAGGAGAGATTGGGGGAGCCGTTGACGGAGACGGAGGGGGCCGAGCTCGTGGAGAGGTATCGGAATAGTGATTGCTCTCGGCAAATCAATCTAGGTACTACTTTGATCTTTATGTGCAAAATGTTGGTGGTAAGCATTTCAGGATGTTGGTAGCCTTTGGGAAGTGTTAAATAACTTGAAATGTGATTATTTGGGTGAAAATATTGAAGAATGTTGCTAGATTAAGTAATTTTTTGCACCAAACTGAGTTGTGTTTGATTTAGGGGTTTGCACTTTGATACCTTGATGTTCTATTTTGTGAATATGATACTTTAAAGTTTTCAAAATTAACTTTGATTTGACGATAAGATGCCCCGAAGTCCAGTTTTTGTCTTTACTTTCTCCAAATTAAAAAAACTAAACTGAAAATTGGTAATAAAAGAAATGTTGCTCATCCACTTTTCTATGTTGTAAGAAATTAATGTTAACTTTTTTGCACTTTGGGGTAAAATGTCAGAAACAGGTGAAATGCTAGAGTATTAAAGTGCATATATCCTTAGAAATATATCGCTATGTTGTTAATTTGTTTGCATTTATGGTTATATGTTGAATATATTTCTGGCCTTATATTTTCTTTACCAAAGTTGTGAACTGTAAACTCATACACCCGAGTACAGTTGTGCTCTGTGCTTGCATTGAAGTCACATGCATAGTCCTTGTGCAGATTTTTTTTTTTAAAGATGGGTTGCAAAAGGAAAGATTTTTTTTGAAAGGAAGTTGAATATATTAACATCATGTCTAAAATGTTACAGGAATAGTACATATTTGTCTAGTTCTTTTCGTCGCTTATGTTTTCTTCTTCATTCCAATCATGAAATTATTGTAGCTCCAACCATTTTTTCCTTGAAATGTACGTTCTTCTCGCTCTCTGTGCTCGTCTTTTTTTCTTAACAAATGCGGGAATAAGAAGTTAGTCAGATTGTATTCACAATCATTCTGACTCAGCCATCTTGGTTGAACTAAGGACCTGGTTTTCCGACAACAATCTCAGTTGAGGGATCTTGCTGTAGAACATAGAATGTTGATTGGTGTGTAGAAGAAATTACCTTACCAGTTACTTCATATCTAAAATCATACAACTTTGGATCAACACTTCAAATGCCTAATCCTCATAGGAAACCCTTGTTATGAATACTGCAAAGCATCAGGCATGTTCCTCACTGCTTCTTTTCAAAGCATGGCATTTGCGTCATTTTAAACATATTTTGCACTTCAATGTGGGGAGAGCTTAGGGTGCCTCTTATTAAACAATGAGCACCGTCCTTATGAGATGCATTGTACTGCTGCTAATGACTCTTTGTATGTTTTCAGACATGATTTTTTTTTGTGAGGGGTTGGGGTGGGGGGTGGGGTGGGGTGGGGGGGTAACTCATGGCTTTATTTTCCTCTTGGGCGGGCTAATTTATAAGCGTTGTTTTTTAATTTGCTAGTTTTGATTATTTATCTCAAACATAGAATTGAGCGAAAAATTATTGTTCAAAATTATGCTCAATTTCAGGGAAGGGTGGCGTAACTCATAACTTGCTAGATGATATCCACAACCACTGGAGGAGAGCTGAAGCCGTGAGAATTAAGTGTCTTGGAGTACCAACCCTTGACATGGACAACATTTGCTTCCACCTCGAGGTAGCAATACAGGGTATATGAAGACTATATATCCTGTAAATGTTTCCTATCCATCGCCTACACTACTGGAGCCTAGTTCTTATAATATGTGACTCTCATTGTCAGGATAAAACAGGTGGAAAAATCATTTATCAGAAAATTAATATTATACTTTTGTATCGTGGTCGAAACTATGATCCTAAACAAAGGCCTGTCATTCCTTTGATGCTATGGAAACCATTGGCACCAATTTATCCAAGGCTGGTTAACTAAACAAAGGCCTGTCATTCCTTTGATGCTATGGAAACCATTGGCACCAATTTATCCAAGGCTGGTTAAAAATGTAGCTGACTGTCATTCCTTTGATGCTATGGAAACCATTGGCACCAATTTATCCAAGGCTGGTTAAAAATGTAGCTGATGGTCTGACCTTTGAGGAGACGAAGGAATTGAGAAATAGAGGCTTGAACTCTCCAGCTTTGATGAAGCTTAGTAAGTTGCTCTGATGCATGCTGTTATATATGCTTAAATTACTCATTCGCCCTTTTAGCCTCGAAAAGTTCTCCTATAATAATATTATCAGCATGTCCTAGTCAGCTGCTTTATTCGTCTCCTTGATTAACAACAAATTGGTTCTTTTTTTTTATCCATGTAGCAAGGAATGGTGTATATGTCAATGTGGTGCAGAGAGTCAGGGAGGCCTTCGAATCAGCGGAGGTTGTAAGACTTGACTGTTCCCATGTTGAAACTAGTGACTGCAAGAAAATTGGCGTGAAGCTCAGAGTGCGTATACTGTGCACATATGACAATTTTAGCGGTTATTCGTTCCGTTGCTGAGTTTTTCTTTAGGGTTGACTGTGGATGGACCTCCTGTACTATAGCCCAATTTTGGACAGGCTCCCTGTAGTTCTGTTGGCGAGGATAGACCACCCGGTACCATTGCCCAAGTTCTGATAGATCCCCAGAGTGATTTTTTATTTTATTTTTACTCTTCAAAGGGTTAGTTAAAAAAAGTTCGCTTAGGGGATCTATCTGCACCAATAGAACTCGAAGTGTTCTGTCCGCATTTAATCTTTTTTACGGCAGTATTTGTTTTGTTAGCAACTGAAGTTTTCAATAGAAACGCTTGTCGTAGATATTCTATTCTTTTCAATTCTCAGCTCCTGACTGCTTTTTAACTCGTTGCAGGATTTGGTGCCTTGCGTTCCTCTTCTGTTTAAAGATAGTCAGATTGTAATCTGGAGGGGCAAGGATAGTCAAGACATAAATCAGTACCCCTCTCTCTCTCTACATTACCCTAACAAACAACGGATTGTATACAGAGTTAAAGGTTAAGCTAACCATCAATCCTAAAGTATAACCTTACAATTAGTACTTTTGGGTTGTTTTGTTAAACTCTATATAGTGGCATACTTGAAGAATAATACGAATATTTCCTTTTCTCGTATGTATGTATGTGTATGTACACACACGGATTGCTATGATTTCTTTGGTTCATATATGTTGGTTTACACATCTGTTATGGTAATTCACCGTTCGACTCACAGGTGTCGACTAAATGATAGCATCCAAGATAAAAGGAGTGGCCCTAACCAGACTAGTGGCCCAAAGCCCAGCACAGGACAATTTTGAGGATTCGGCTAAGCAACAAGTTGTCCATATCGGGGCAAAACATGGAACTAGTCGGGTATTTAATAATAAAGACGGCTCCTCAAAAATCCGCTCGACAAATCTTCCAGCTGTTTATTCGACCAGAAGTTCACCTAACTATCTAGTCGACGGACCACAATGACGACTCAAAAGCTGACATTAATTTCTTTGCAAAGAAGATAGGATCAAATTGAGCTTCCTTCAGGATAACCATCAGCGCTCTAACCAACACTGTAACATTGTCCGGTCCCATCAAGACCACAATTCTGATGATCGTCATGACTCAGCAGCCAGCTTGTTCATACCTCGCTGATAAGTCTCTTCCCGAATATCACGAGAATTGTCCTCTCTCTATGCGTGAAATGACTTCCCCTCTAGTCTCTGGATCCATGTAGCCCACCGTACCTGCCGCACTAGGAGACACGTTAGGCCCATTAGGCCCGTTGTTGCTATGGGACGCAATCGGGTGCATCACCGAGAGGCCAAAATCTATGATCATGTAGATGTAGGTGTAGACTACAAGGGCAGGCCTCCAATTTTAAATATAAATAGGCTATTGCCATTTTTAGTTTTTGTGAAAAAGAGAAGAGGATCACATCTTCCTTAAAAGTACTTCGTAAAGATGGGTATGATCATCAACTAAGTAATATTGAATAAAACTCTTAGATGCCAGATAGAATATACATTTTTAAACCGTCATGTAAATTATTCATTGTATACATCCGTATAACAAAAGAAAAACTTCTATACACTTAGATGTTGATTTGAATATTAACTGACATCACAAATCAAAAGGAGTCCATGTTTATTTCAACAACATGTTCAGGCGCGCGTATACGTCACCTCAACCATTATTCATGAGCATTGCCATGAAGAGATCATGCATAACAAACTTCATATGATTAATTTGTGAACATACCATCATGTACTCATTAACGTATCTTATACTACTTTAATCAAACAACTACTGCACGCAATTAATCACCACATTAATTAATTAGCCCCCAAGTACTCATTTGGTTCATCATCACGCATGCAGTTGGTTAGTATAAATTGACGAGGTGGTAGAGACTCACACGGTAGCATGCTTTTATGGTGAATGAATGATACATGAGAGGATCAAGCTGTGATATGATGCTCATGGACTCGTTCACTCGTCCGTTAATTCAAGCCATAAAGAGCTTTTATAAAAGTTATAAAAGGAGAAATGAGAAAAAATTCGAGGAACCCATTTGCTAATGAGATTGATCATTGCCAAATTAAAGCAATTTGAAAGGAGAAATCATAAAAAATCGCAGAGATTGGTTACCTCAGATTGTTAAGTGATTTTCCCCATTTCGAATGAGCTGAGAATTTGAAGAGAATATATCTGCCCTAATTTTTTTTAGGTTATTTGATTTGGAACGCGGGAACAGGGTTTAGGAGGGGGGTTTTGTTTACCGGAGTTGTTGGGTCGGAATGTCGGATCCGTTTTAAGCTCGGTTCCAAACGCTGGGGGTTGTTGGGACGATGGGCCTGAAATCGCAACCAAGGCCCGTTCGAGGCCATTTACAATCTCGGTCTTCGTTGGCCTATCTCGGCCCTCTGGGCTAACACAATCCGCGGCAAAGTAGCCCACATAGGCGACGGGGCCTCAATTTCACTCGGCGTAGGGGGAGCGATCCGAGGGTCGAGCACTCTGTGCAAGTCATCGGCGAAAATGTGCGGTACGGCGAATACAACAACATTCTTCGGCGTACCGCTCTCTTCGTACCGTTGGATCACCTTACAACCGGACAATAACTCCAACAATACTACTCCGAAGCTGTAAAACATCGCTCTCCGCGGTCAGACGCTGAAACCTATAATACTCTGGATCCATGTAGCCCACCGTGCCTGCCGCACTAGGAGACACGTTAGGCCCATTAGGCCCGTCGTCGCTATGGGACGCAATCGGGTGCATCAACGAGAGCCCAAAATCTATGATCATGTAGGTGTAGACCATAAGGGTAGGCTTCCAATTTTAGACCAGATGTTTGTGTAGACTACTTTGATCCCTATTGATTTTTTAGTTCTATTAAGGGCAAGGTATATAATCTATTATCAAGAGTTTCTAAGTAAAAAAAAAAAACTTTTTTTTAAAGTCAAACTTGGAATGGCTAGCTTTACATCAAATTTTTTATTTTTAACTTGAAAGATCGGCATTGTTCAAACCAAACTACAGTGGCTTAGTATAATATAGTTAGAGCACTACAAGCTGCTGGTGTCATAAACACAGAAGTCTATAAGGGTAACTGATTCCACTTATCCATTTAATCTCCAATTAATTCGATTATCTGATAGTTATTTATTAAAGTAAAATTTAATTGGGGTATACTATCTGAATTAGCAGAATATTAAATAGAGAATTTTAATAAATAGTTTGCGGAAATAAACATTGTTAGAAATCAAAAATTAAGTTTGTATATTTTGTTAGTTTAATTTCATGAGTTTGTACATTCCGAAAAATATTGAGACAGGATAAAGAACTAGCTGAATTTATAATATCTGAATTAAACAATGTCATTGGCCCTGGCGTCGCCTTGCCGCGGTCGTCGCCGCCGTAGCTGTCGCTGCAAGCCACCTGTCCGCCACGGCGTCCCGCGCAGCAGCAGCACCGCCTCGGACCGAGCAGTCAGTGCCGGTCGGTCATGGCACCGTCGTCGCCACCTCGAACCAAGTGCAGACATCGCTAACCCCGCCGCCCCGGCCGCTTAGCCGGCAGTCGCGCAACAGGTTCGGCACCGTGAATTTGCCGTCGGCCGCTCCGCCGAAGCCTAGGCAGCCGCCGCCGTCTCGCCGTACGCTACCGTTGGCCTAGCTGCAGTCGGCATCCTTCTATCTAATCGCCGGCCTCGGCCACGCATCATGACGTCGCCTGCCGGCCGCAGCCTAACATCGAGGTCGTCGCCCGCCGCAATCTCGACACCACCTAGCTGCTGGCTTACCGCCTCAGCCTCCCGCCTCTCCCCCCGCATGCGCAGTTCTCTGCCTGCTACGCAAGCTGTCTCAGCCTCACGCCTCAAGCATGGTGCAGCCGCCGTCCTGCGCGCAGTTGTCTAGCCGTCGCCTGCGTCCCGACCGCCGACAGGTCGCCGAGCCTCTGCAGCAAGCATTGCAGCCTCCGCCTTCGTCGCCGCCTCTGCTTGGCCCGCGAATTTATCTCTGCCGCTGCCAACCACACAGCCCTATCCATCGTCGCCAGCTCGGCCCGCGATGCGACTGGCTCTAGGCTCAAGAACTAGCTGTCATTTATAATATCTGAATTAGCCGAATATTAAATAGAGAATTTTAATAAATAGCTTGCGGAAATAAATGTTGTTAGAAATCAAAAATTAAGTTTGTATATTTTGTTAGTTTAATTTCATGAGTTTGCACATTCCGAAAAATATTGAGACATGATAAAGATTGTAGCGAAGCAGGATCACTCAGCTAAAGGAAATAGAAAGACAAACAACATAAAATCAACTAGATGTGAGCTTAAAGAAAATAGAAAAACCAACAACATAAAATAAACTAGATGTGAGCCTAGGAGCGGGCGGGTGCAGGAGCATTGTCCTTGGTAAATTTTGCATCGACATAGGCTAGACATATGCCAAGGGCAATAATGGCTGCCCCTGCAATAAAAGTAAAGAAGATCATTACACCCAAACGGAATTTAAAATTTTCCAGCAAAATAAGGAGTATAATAGTAATGGAGAAGATAGTGACGTCTACGATAACCACAATAAGATCGGGCTTTTTGCTACCCGTCTAGTTGCCTAACATTACTGCAGTTGTAAACACTAAAAACGTGTAGAGCAAAATCCGCAGTGTCTTGAGCCTCTGCATCAACAGTTCCCGTTAGAAAAAATATAAACTTGAAATGAAAAACAAATTTAAAAATAAAAAACAAATAACCTTGTCATTGGCTCCTGCGGCGTCGCCCGTCGTCGTGCGGCGCAAGCCGCTCCTT